TCAGGTACCGGGTACCATGTTAAGCACTAGAGGCACAACATTCCTGCCCTGGTGGGATTCTAGAAAAATGCCTCTTGAACTCCTCCACCTATCACCTAGTTATCGAGCAGGTCACACCCTAGCAATGTTGGCATTTCCTCAGCAGTCTCTCTGCCTGCTCTTCTTCCTCCTGATTTTTAGCTGTGGAGAACCTCAGCACACTCAGGATTATACATATATACTTTTTTCCCCCCTCTTTCTACTTTCTCCCTAGGGGAGCTCCTCTGGATAGCATCTATGAGCTAAAGACTGTCAAATGTAGATCTGCAATCAGATTGCTCCCTGAGCTTTGGTTTCATGTTCGTTTCCTTGGCTTCACCTATTGGATATAAAATAGTCTTCCCAATACTAAGTTCAAGTCAAAGTTTTGCCTCCCTTCTTCAAATCAGTTCATCCCTCAGCTTGTTCTATTTCAGCAAATGTCATCCATGCTAAAAACTTAGAAGTCATCTTTGGTTCCACTCTTTTTGTCATCCTCTTCGATTAAACCATCACAGGATCTATCAACTGAACCTCAAAAACACATTACAGTTCAATCCACTTCTCTGCATGTTGACTGTCTCCATTTTAATCCAATCTACTTTGACATCTCTCCCCTAGAATACAGGAGCCCTCTAACACATCTCTCCAGTCCATCCTTACTCTTAGGTAGCCAATTACCTTTTAGAAACATAAATTTGATCATGTTACCCATTACAACCAACACCATTTAAAAACCTCCAATGTGTCCCTGCTCCCCATGTTTTTTCTTTCTTCTCTCTCTCTCTTTTTTTTTTTTTTTTGGTAGCGCTGGGGATTGAACCCAGGGCCTTGTGCATATGAAACAAGCACTCTACTAACTGAGCTACATCCCCAGGCCCCCTCTCCCCACCTTGCTACCATAATCCACTCTGCTTTTTGCCTGGCTCACTCTGCTCCCTTCACACTAGCCTTTAGAATCTTCCTTAACTAACACAAGCTCTTTGCTGCCTGGGCGACCGTGCCCTTCCATGCACCCTGCCAGAATCCTCTTCTTCTGCCAATTGACTTACATCCTTCAGATTTCAGATAGCATCAGAGCCCCTCCCTGACCACCTATCCCTCCCTTGCCCAGACCCTCCCTGACCAAAGTGGTCTTCCCCATCTTTTTGCTTCTTATCAACTTTTTAAAGTTGATTTCATGGAACAATCTACAGCAGCTACTTTGTTTCTTTAATTACTTGCTTGTCATCTATCTTCTGTATTAGAATATCAGCCATGAGGAGAGCAGGAATTTTGAATGTCTTGCTCATGCTATATACCAGCACTTAACTCGGGAAAATAGTAGTACCAATAAATATCTACTGAAAGGAAGAAGGGAGAAAAAGGAAAATGAGCTACAAAAAAATCTCTGTAAACATCCTTGTGGCAGAATAACAGCTCAACAAAAGGTTCCACGCCCTACTCCCCAGAACCTGTGGGTATTTATTTTACCTGTCAAAGGAACTTTGGACATGTGATTAAAGTTCAGGACCTTGAGACAGCTGATTATCTTGGATTACCCAAGTGGATCCACTCTAATTGCACAAGTCCTTAGAAGTATAACAGGAAGGAAGAACTGGGCAGACAGTGATGACGGGAGAACCTCCCCCGCTGGAGGAAGGAAATAGGAACTGAGAGATCCCACAGCCTCCAAAAGCTTTGACTGGATCTCAGTTTACAGACACCATAAAATGTGTTTCTGGTTTAAAATGTTTGAGAATCAGATCAAAATCAAAATCTACTGGTTTCCCCTTTCTGGAATAAAAAGTTGTGGCGTACAGGGGCCTCTAGGAGCTAATTCCTGTCTTCCACATTCACCACCACTCTTTGCCAATACTCTAGTGTCTGGTGACACAGAGATTATAGTGCCCCCCCCCCCCCAGCATCTCATGCCTCATAGTCACGTCTCTGTGACTTTTGGTCATGCTGTTCGCCTCACCTTCTCAGCATTCTTAAACGACGAGTTCTAATCATCCAAACTCAATTCAGACACCTTTGTTCACTCATTCATTCAACACATAGGTATGGAGCCACTGCTAAAGGTCAGGGGCTTGGGATACAGAACGAGATAGGTGGGAATTGGTACTGATGTAAACAATATTTTGGAGTACAGAGACAAAGAGATCAGTAACACATCAGTTCAGATGGGAAGAGGAGAGAGAACTGAGAAGAAAGAATCTGGTCATAAAAAGTGTTTCTAAGAAGTGAAGCTTCAATTAACAGTGGTACTGGCCAAGTGAGTTTCAGAAGAGGAGAGAGAGAGAGAGAGAGAGAGAGAGAGAGAGAGAGAGAGAGAGAGAGAGAGAGAGGTGTGAGTGTGGAGCCTGGAGGCAGAGGTAAGAATTAGAAATAAGGACAGGCTGGCTGAGAAAGGAACAGTGGGGATGTTTGACATGAAGTAGAAGGAGCCAGTTCTGCCAGGGCTTGTTTGACGTGAAAGGGAGACTACTCTCTCAAATCTATAGGAAACCACTGGTGCTTAATTAGTGGTTTTACTTCTTTATTTAGTTGAGAGTGCTACAGGATATGGATTCTATAGGACACATACACACATGACTCTGGACTCCAAGTGTGGGGACCAGAGTAGACGCAGGCAGACCAATGAGAACAACTGCAGAGACCTTGGTAAAAGGATGGTAATGTTACCTCAGACATAGCAGTGGACATGGGAGGTGGTGTTATTTTAAGTCACAGGGGTTATGGTTCGGATGTGAGGTGTCCCCCAAAAGCTCTCGTGTAAGACAACACAAGAAGGTGCAGAGGAAAAATGATTGGGTTGTGAGAGTCTTAACCCTATCAATGAATTAATCCCCTGATAGGGATTAACTGTGATAACTGAAGTGGTGGGGTGTGGCTAGAGGAGTGGGAAGAGGGGGAATGTGGTGTTGGGGAATATATTTTGTATCTGGAGAGTCGAGTGTCTCTCTCTCTCTGCT